GATAACATTTCACGAGGACACAAGAACGCAAGTACAGATAAGAACGCATATTGAGAAACGGCCAATGTGTCAGACACTGCCAGAGATATAATGTCCTTTTTGGCAAACAGGTGAGATATATGAGAAAGCCAGACAAAAAAGGACAGCAGTATGCATTACAGGAGTATATTCACGACATAATAGACAACGGATTAGAGAGTATAATTTGATCAAATTTAAGCTAGCTTAGCCTAGCCGCCTCATACGCTGACCATTCAACAGCTTAGCTCATGCACAGCAGAAGAGGTGAACTTTAAAAATAATCTAACAATAACAAATGAAACTGTAATTTCTCTATTTTTAGCCAAAAACCCTGATAGATTAATTCTTGTGCAATGAAAAATAGCGTTACTAACTGACGAGGAAACATGCATGGACAGTCCTTCTACAAAATTCATTCATAGAAAGAACAGCCAGAAAGGGGGAACTGATATATTTGTGCCGAATATTAGCATTATTGACCCATAACAATGTATAGTAAGTTACCTATTACTGTCAGTATGTTTGTGTGCTTATTATAAATTAATGAAAAACGGCTGCGGGTAAAGTATATTGATCACAAGTGCTCAGTTTGTGATCATATCTCAGTTTTGTTCTGTTGATTTGTAATTTCAAATATATATATATAGCTTGAAATAGATGGAAATATGAAGTTCAGTAAAGTTAACAACAGATTCGCAGATTCGTATTTTCCAGATCAATAACTCATGTCATTAGACCTATTCAATATTAGTATGACTAACGTTACTATTGCGAAGGCTTAAACGGAGCATTACTCACAATATCAAGCGAAAATAAAGGTATAAGACAGCTGTGAAACATAACCAGCTTTGTATTTTTGTAGGAAACACAGTTTAGATGTGTTTAGTGTAAGAGGTGTGTGAGTTATTGCTGTCGGTCTGTCAATGAATGTGTCAGGAATATCAAAACAAAACCAACTTAACTCCGCTCCTTTAGCGCCCCTCACAGAGTTTAATCCACGCTGGCATTTGTCCTCTTGGGTTTTTGGTTTTGAAAAGGGAAAAAATTCCACCATCCCATCCAAACTTTAAGGAGACCGGGTATTAGATTTGCACAATCCATATGCACTCACTCCAAAGCTTGACAGAGCCCCTGCCCGTAGCTACAATTGCTAAGCCTTGATTGGTGGGTGGCAGTTTTTGGGTGTGGCTTAGCAAAGGGTCAGTTGCTCTTTTTAAAGTGTTTGTAAAGGCTGATTTATACTTCTGAGTCAAGCCAAACAGCTTAGAATGACCAAGAGGCGACACTCAATAGAACGTTTCATTGCAACAGCAGCGCCCAGCAACAGCCCTGGATTCCGCCATTTTGGAGTGAAAGTGATCGGCCGTCCATTGGATCTCATTACTGTCGCGTTGGCAAGCAGCTGCTTTGTTTTTTATCTATTTATTTAAAAAGCGCATTAAAGCTGAGATACAACCTGAAAGACAACAATACAACACTTACTATCACAATCATCAGCACTTTTAATAGTTTATTTTAAAGACTTATAATATGCTGTTGTTCTATTGGAGTTTTCATTCCAAAATGGCCACCGCGCCCTCTAGTGGCTGTTTCCCAAATTACACTAGTGTCGCCTCTTGGTCATTCTAAGCCTATGGTCGGGCACAACATAGCCCTAAACCAGCGAAGTCCTATGGTCGCACGGTCGCATACCCCTTGCTGTGGCTGATGCTGACACTAGCTACAGTGCCATGCACCTATATTCTTATGCGCATTTTGCATATGCACATAAAAAAATAGGTTGATGGAAACGCTAAGATGTGCATACATTTTGAAAATGCACATAATAATGTATGCACATAACTTGGTAGGATAAACGTTTTATTCAATAAGAAAAGATGAGCATAAACTACAATGGAAACACTTTTACCCAACAAATTCCAGTATGTGCATTAAAAAGGTCATGTGATTTTGTAATAAGAGACATTGTGATGATAAATATGTGTGTAAATGGATAAACCAGCAGGCTGAGCGCATCGTAAAACATCTGAAATGTTGTTTTGGACATTCTAAAATGCCTTATCCTGTCACGTTAGCGTGATCAAAACAATAACAAAAGATAGCGGATTCAAGTGCAGATTTTAATATACTATAGTGCAAAAACAGTGAACAAAAATCCAAAAATATCAAGGTGCAGAGTAACAAATAAACAACGAAACAAGAAACTAAGACAGATAAACATGAACTAGACTACAGCAAGATACGAGGCAAGATCAGGAACAACAACTTGGAATAACAGACTTACTGGGAACTGGGAACAAGAAAGACAAGGAAGACAAACGATGCGATGATCAACAGTGGTGGAATGATAGAATATATAGTCCAGATAATCAACGGTAAAACAGACACAGCTGTGATGGCAGATCAGTGTATGTGTTTCGGTGTATGCGCGTGGTAAGTATGGAGTTGTATTCTCTTTGGGACGCTGTAGTTCCTTCTGAGTCCTGTTGAACTACAGCGCCCTCAGGTGGTCACTGACCGTTGTGACATATCCGTCTTAGTATTAGTGTTATTACATTATTAAAGACCTCCAGAATCAACAACATCTGTGCTCTGCGTCTCACGCTTTCAAACACCACCGTGTGTCAGGATTGTCTTCTGAGGCACAAGTCATTTATTAAATAAAGAAAAGATTCATGCAGCTTCTCCAACAGCAGCAAATTCAGTTTTTATTGTTGATATTTGGCGCCAGTTAATCAGGATGTGTCTATTTTGTTCGCTTAAACTCTTTGGATGGAAACGCTGCTTTATTTGCATGTCTTATATGTGATATTCCAGTTTTGCGCACAAAATTAAATTCGCATTTTTGGATGGAAACATAGCTACTGACGCCCACCTCTCAAAAAATGGAACTACACGTTGCAACGACTCGTAGCACAAGCTCTGTGATTGGACATGTGGCAGCGGTGATGATGTGAGCAGTGCTGAGAGCCGCGAGTGTTTACTAGTGTGGAGTCTCGTGGAAGAGCTCCAGATGGAGACTGTTGTTTTTTTCAACCTTATGATTAAAGTTGCTGCACGTCTGCCTGTTCCCGCCTCAGACTGAGTGCGTTCTTGCTACTTGTACATTAAGGTAGTGTTCAGAAAAAATACTGTGGAAATATAAATGTAATCTAATTTTAAATGAACAATAATCTACATATAACAGAAAAGTTATATTCTTTGATTTTTAATTATGTAATTTCATTAACAGCCCAGCCTTGAGAGACATTAACCTTTGTCTTTCTGACTAGTGGCTAAACCAAAGTGATGCAAATGCTATGGGCAGGCTTTTAACGACTCTGCCTTTGTCTTTGGGTGATGCTTTCTTGCTAAAGAAACCCTTTTGTTGATTAACTCATCTGGTCAGTTGCTGGGCAGGTTTCTAACACCTATATGCTGGTTATCATGCTGACTACAATACTGAATTTGCATGCTTTGTTTAGCCATTTCCCCTCCTCCTAAGAACACAATATAGACAGGAAATCATTGTTTTAATTCAGACTTGTGATGAAGCTCGCAGACTGCATACCTCCAGTAGGCTCTGCAGACACATGGACTTTTTAAAGATGCTGTATGACTGCAGATTAACCAACACGTCTCAATAAAGGAATTCTGCTTGTTTCGAGTCTCCTGGACTGGGTTCTCTCTCTTCACTCATTTTTTTTTTTTTTTTTACAACAACACCCATGATAAAACTTGACATAGAGGAGCATAAAAACCTACTGCCAGCTAGTGTTTCAGAAGTGTTATTGCAGAGCAACACAAACAGCATGCAGAAGTATAAATGCACGGCTATGCGCAAGGCATTTGCCGATCACTCGATGGAGAAGTATAAAGTTTAAATAATATGCAATTCTTTTAATTTCTTTTTTTTAGATATTATGTTAAATATTTGATTTAGGAATAATTGTGGTCTTTATTAAATTAACTAACACCTTTTTTTTTGTAAATAAGTTTATAACCGTGTGAATTTTTATTTTATTTTTATTGAAATATTTCCTAAGAGATGTCTGACAGAGCAAGGACATTTCACAGTACTTCCTATTATATTTTTGTCTTCTGGAGAAAGTCTTATTTCGCTTAGTTTGGCAAGTATCAAAGCAGTTTTTAATATTTATTTTTTAAACTAAACAATCAATATTATTAGAAATTATTTGTTTGCTACAGAACAACACACTGTTGTGCAATGACTTGCCTAACAAATCTAATTAACCTAGTTAAAAACTTTAAGCTGAATACTAGTATCTTACAAAATTACAGGTAAAATATAATGTACTGTCATCATGGCAAAGATTATGTAAATTTATAGACGAATTCATTTAGCTATTTAAAATATTGTTATCAACAATATCTTGAAGAAAAAAATTCAGTGTTAAACATCACTTGGGAAATTCACAAGTTCACAAAAAAATTCACAGAAAGGCTAATAATTATTTTTTTCATTTATTTGCACAGATGTCAGAATTATTAGTTCTCCTCAATTATTAGCCTATATATTTTACCACAATTTCTTTCAACGAAATGAAGATCACATTTCTAAACATAATACTTTAAATAATTCATTTCTAAATACTGATTTCTTTTATCTTTGCCATGATGGAAGTAAATAATTTTCTACTAGATATTTTTCAAGACTGCTTAAAGTGACATTTAAACGCTTAACTAGGTTAATTAGGCAAGTTACTGTATGATAATAGTTTGTACTGTAGACAATCAAAAAAACAGTATTACTTAATGGGGTTAATAATATTGACCTTTATATGTTTTTTTTTTCTTTTTTTTTTTTTATTAAAAACTGCTTTTATTCTGGACGAAATAAAACAAATAAGACTTTCTCCAGAAGAAAAAATATATATTATAGGAAACACTGTGAAATATTCCTTGATCTGTTAAAAAAACATCATGTGGGAAATATGTGATTGGTGTTGGCTGACGGGTTTAATCTGGTTTTGGCGTACCTGCTGGAAACTCTCCCGAAGGTGGCTCTGGTCCTCCGGGTGGCAGAACTCCAGAATGTCTTTGCCAAGAAGATCCTGTGTAAACCCAATAAAATGAACAGTCGTATGAATGCTTGATTTATACAAGCCCTTAGTACTTGTGAAACATGGAGAATGCAGACAGCATCAGGGTCACGATGAATAATAACTGGGAAAAAGTTTGACTGTTTTCAAGCAGTGATAAGCCTCAATATTCTCTATTATTCAGTCTGACTGGGATTGATGTCATCTCAAGGACTGATGGATTTCAAAATACACAAATAAACATAAATATTGTCAGATTTAGTTACTGCAGATGTGCATTTAAAAAAACTCCACTTTAAAAAAAAAAAAAAAAAAACAGGCATTTCACAACACCCCTAAAGTAAAATAGTTGAGTTTTACCTTTTTTTTTTTATCAACTCAGCTGATCTTTGTAATGTAACGTAATGTAATGTGTATTTGTATAGCGCATTTATTGTGTATGGCCATCCACCCAAGGCGCTTCACAACCATGAGGGGGGGTCTCTCCACACCACCACCAGTGTGCAGCATCTACTTGGATGATGCAACGGCTGCCAAAGGACAACAGCGCCAGTGCGCTCACCACACATCAGCTATTGGTGGAGTGGAGAGACTGTGATAGATCCAATTTGGTGGAAGGGGATGATTGAGAGGCCATGATTGTAAGGGCCGATAGAGGGACTTTGGCCAGGACACCAGGGTTACACCTCTGCTCTTTCACGAGAGGTGCCATGGGACCACAGAGAGTCAGGACCTCGGTTTAACGTCTCATCCGAAAGACGGCGCCCACTGACAGTGTAGTGTCCCCTTCACTTTTACTGGGGCATTAGGACTCACACAGACCACAGGTTGAGCGCCCCCTTCTGGCCTCACTAACACCACTTCCAGCAGCAACCTAGTGTTCCCTAGTGGTCTCCCATCCAGGTACTGACCAGGCTCAGCCCTGCTTAGCTTCAGTGAGTAACCGGTCTTGGGCTGCAGGGTGATATGGTTGTGGCTTTGTGTCTGACAGTCGCACTTTTAGCTTAGCTTAGCATAGACTGTTGAATCGAATTAGACCATTAGCATGTCACAAGAGGTTCAATAACTTTCCTATTTAAAGCTCGACTTTTCTGTTGTTACATTGTGTATTAAAATGAAAAGGTGCTATTTTCTAGGCCTCATATGGATAGGAACTATACTCTCATTCTGGTGTAATAATCAAAGTACGCAATGATATTACATATAATCTGGTGGCTTCTTCTATATGGTTGCATTGCTTATATTGAGGGAAGTTTGACAATTTTAGGACACTGTGTAATATCAAGGGCGAGGCAGTGACGCAGTAGGTAGTGCTGTTGCCTCACAGCAAGAAGGTCGCTGGTTCGAACCTCGGCTCAGTTGGCGTTTCTTTGTGGAGTTTGCATGTTCTCCCTGCGTTCGCGTGGGTTTCCTCCGGGTGCTCCGGTTTCCCCCACAGTCCAAAGACATGTGGTACAGGTGAATTGGGTAAGCTAAATTGTCCGTAGTGTATGAGTGTGTGTATGAGTGTGTGTATGAATGTGTGTGTGGATGTTTTCCAGAGATGGGTTGTGGCTGGAAGGGCATCCGCTGCATAAAAACTTGCTGGATAAGTTGGCGGTTCATTCCGCTGTGGCGACCCCGGATTAATAAAGGGACTAAGCCGACAAGAAAATGAATGAATGAATGAATGAATGAATGAATGAATGAATGAATGAGTAATATCACTGCACCTGCTGCAGTTATGGCAAGCAAGCTAAGCTCATTTATTATTAAGTCACAATAAGAGTATAGTTCCTAGTCATATTGGTCTAGAAAATAGCAACTTTTATTTTCCACAGTCTTAGTACACAATGTAACTAACTACAAAAGAGTGAAGTGAAAAATTTTCGAAACACTTTGGTCATTTTATGAACAAGATGCTAATGGTCTAATCTGTGGTCTATCATTGCATCTGCTGTAGCCTTGGTACAGCAGCAAACTTCATTTATAAACACACCGCAAAGAAAGTATAGATCCTAGCTATATTAGGCTAGAAAATAGCAACTTTTCATTTTCCATCAGTCTTAGTACACGATGTAACTACAGAGGAGTCAAACCTTAAATAGGAATTAGCTTAGCATAGATCATTGAATTGGATTAGACTATTAGCATCTCACTTTAAAATGACCAAAGAATTTCAATACGTTTCCTATTTAAAGCTGGACTTTTCTGTTGTTACATTGTGTATTAAATTGCAAGGTTGCCATTTTCTAGGCCTCATATGGATAGGAACTATACTCTCATTTTGGCTTAATAATTAAGGTACTTCGCTCCCATACCAAGGCTACAGCAGACGCAATGACATTACACATCGCCTGGAAATATGGTGGTTTCTTCTATATGGTTGCATTGCTTAAATATGCAGGGAAGTTTGACAATTTTAAGGCACTGTGTAATATCACTGCACCTGCTGCAGTCATGGCAAGCAAGCTAAGTTCATTTATTATTCAGTCTGAATGAGAGTATAGTACCTAGTCATGTTGACCTACAAAATAGCATCTTTTCATTTTCCATCAGTCTTAGTATACGATGAAACTACAGAAGAGTTGAGCTCTAAAAAGGAAAATTATCTAAACACTTTGGTCATTTTATGAGTGAGATGTTAATGGTCTAATCCGATTCAATTATTTATGCTAAGCTACGCTAAAAATGCTTCCACCAGACTCAAAGACTAGCTTAATGAATACAAAAATGGTAAAACTGTTTTACTCCATTAAAAAAAATTAAAAGTGTAGTGCTCATTCAATATAAAATTGACAATTTTCAGACATGCGTAATATTATTGCGCCTGCTGCAGCCCTGGTATGGCAGCAAACTTTCCTCATTTTTAAGCCAGAATGAGAATATATTTTGTTACGATTGCCGTATATTGGTGGAATTTTTGCATCCCGTTCTGTCTCTCTCTCTCCCCATCTCTGCCTGTCATATCCTTTAGGTGTGCCTTAGCGGAATTTCTCATCATTGGGTGATGTGGCACTGTCACATAAAAGGACGCCAGGGAGAGCGGATGAGAGCGCGCTTTCCTTTGATCTTGTTTTTGTGTGTTTTTGCTGACATGATTTTGTTATTCGTTGTTTTCGCTTAACTTCCGTTTGGATAAAATTATCTAGTATTATTTCTGCCCATTTTGTAACTACTTTGTGATTTTTGTACATATTAATTTCGATTATTTGTTTGTTACTTTTTGGTCCAACTCTTACCTGGCCAACAAAAGTAAGAGATTATAGTGAGAGTTGACTTTGTCCTCAGATTAAGGTGGACAGGGAAGAAGTTGTACGACTTCGATCATACAAACACGTAGTCAATCGTGTTTAAAACACCAGATAAGAAGTGAATGCCATCTATGTATTTGTTTTGTTTTAGTTCAGTATAGGTAAGATTGCGACGCTTGCCGCTGAAGATTTTTCTTTTCTTTTTCTTTTCATACTTCTAGCGAGGTAAGGGGTTTGCTTATGAGTTAGAATTGTTTTGTTATATTTATTTCTTTGATTTGGCTTCACTAGCGTCCCCTTACTCTTGAGTTGACCTGATTTTGTTTAATACTTTGTTTAATTTGTTACTTTATTGTTATTGTAAATATTTCCTATTATTATATATATATATATATATATATTTGGGCATTATTCTGATTTCACTTTTTGTACATGAAATCACTTTTGTTGGCAGTTCTGTTGTTTGTGTCTTTTACTTTCACCCATCACTTGTAAAAGTATCACACCTTTTCAATGTTACTACTTTCACCCTAGACTAACATCAAAGAGGTTGTAACAATTTCCAATAGCCATATTAGCCTAGAAAACAGCATTTTTTTTTTAATTTTCCACAGCCTTAGTATACAATGTGACTACAGAAGAGTCAAGCTTTAAGAAATTTTTTTTCTTAAACACTTTGGTCATTTTATGAACGAGATGCTAATGGTCTAACCCACAGGTGTCAAACTCGGTTCCAAAAGGGCCGCAGCTCTGCACAGTTTAGTTCCAACCCTAATTAAACACACCTGATCAAACTAATTTTGATCTAAACTAGTCCTTCAGGCTTGTTTGAAACCTAAAGGTAAGTGTGTTGGAGCAGGGTTGGAACTAAACTGTGCAGGGCTTCAGCCCTCCAGGAATTGAGTTTGACACCCCTGGTCTAACCCGATTCAATTAATTGTGCTAAGCTAAGCTAAAAGTGCTCCTGTCAGACCCAAACATCAGCTCAATGGATTAAAAAATGGTAAAACTCATCTGTTTAACTCTAGGAGAGCTGTAAAAGGAGCCTATATTTTCAATAAAAACGTGTGGTGTTCATTTAATATGAAGTTTCAAGGTGATAATGACCTGAGGTTGGTAGCCAATCACGTTGATGCATCGAGGGTCCACGAATGTGATGATGCCATCCGAATTGTGGCGTGAAAGGAATTCAGTCGGAACTGAAAGTCCGTTCATATCCATTGAAACAGGAGAGCTGGTCACCTGAGGGACGAGATGATGAAGAGTTTTACATACAAACAGATGGTCTGGTTCTCAAACCAGCAGATGCATGCTTTATTGCGCAACACTGTCATGGGATCGTCAAAACATTAGTTACAGTTGTCTGTATGGTTTAAGATGTGGGAGAGTATTTATTAAACTGAATGGATGTAATGTTTGATTCAAATGCAAAGATGTGGCTTCACTGTGAAGTAAACAGGGTAATTCTCCATCCCCTGAGTGTGTGTGATTGAGGAATGGGCAGGGTAGACATTTAGTCATTTCATTTAATTATTTAGCTGATTCTTTTGTCTAAACGACTTACAAATGAGGAGTTTAGCAATTTTACATGAAGAGGCATTTAACTGAAATTGCATTAAATGTAATGGTGTCACCCATAATTCTCCTGCAACACTTAAATCAACTATACACAATTACATCCCCTGTTTTGGGTTAATCTGCTATTTTGTAAATTTCCAATTGATTTCCTTTTAATTCCAATTATTTCAATATTTTGTCATTTTTTAAATCATAGAAAGTTTAGCAGTGAAACTATTACTAATAACTATTGTTACTGTTCCTGGATGTTGTGCCGTGTTTATCTGAAATAAATTTTCAGTTTATTATCTTTAATTCCCATAGATTACTGTTAATTCCCATATTTTGCTTTTAATAACCATGGAACGTTTAGTAGAGAAACTAATATTGTTCCTGGATGTTATGCCATGTTTTTCTGGAATAAATTTTCAGTTAATTACCTTTAATTGCAATATATTTTCCAATAATTCCCATATTTTGCCGTTAATTAAGATGGAAAACCTGGTAGCAGATCTGTAATTGTTCCTGCATGTTGTGAGGTGTTTATCTAAAAAAAAATATCAGTTTATTCCAACTTAATTCCTATACATTCTTGCTAATTCCCATATTTTGCCCTTAATTATTTCAAAAGGTTTAGTGGTGAAAATGTTATTGTTCCTGGATGTTGTGCCATGATAATCTGAAATAAATTTCCAGTTTATTGCCTTTAATTCTTATATACTATCATTAATTCCCATATTTTGCTGTTAATTACCATGGAAAGTTTATTAGCGAAACTGTTGTTCCTGAATGTTTGAAGCATTTAACTGAAACTGCATTAAATATGGTGGTGTCAACCAAGATTATCCTGCAAGATTTATATCAACTGTATACAATTACATTCCCTGTTACAGGCTAATCAGCATTTTGGTAAATTTCCAGATTAATTGTCATACATCTCTATTAATTTCCATACTTTGCCGTTAATTACCATGGAAAGTTTAGAAGCGAAACCGTTATTGTTCCTGGATGTTGTGGTGTTTATGTGGAATAAATTTCCAGTTTATTCCCCTTTAATTCTCATACATTCCTGTCAATTCCCATGTTTAGCCGTTATTTACCATGGAAAGTTTAGTAGCGAAACTGTTATTGTTCCTGGATGTTTGGAGCATTTAACTGAAATTGCATTAAATACGGTGGCCTTAATCAAGATTATCCTGCAAGATTTAAATCAACTATATATATTTTTCAACTCTCCAGTTTATTCCCTTTCATTTCCATACATTTCTTTTATCTGCCATATTTTCCCATTTATTTAAAAATTTTGCCATTAATTACTATGGAAAGTTTAGTAGCGAAATCGTTATTGTTCCTGGATGTTGTGAGGTATTTATCTGAAATAAATTTCCAGTTTATTTTCTTTAATTTCCATACATTCACATATTTTGCTATTAATTACCATGGAACATCTAGTACCAAATCTGTTAATGTTCTTGGAGGGTATGATGTGTTATCTGGAATAAATTTCCAGTTTATTCCCATTTAATTCCCATAGTTTCCCGTTAATTGCCATATTTTGCCACCAATTACTTAAACAAGTTTAGTAACAAATCAGTTACTGTTTCTGAATGTTGTGCTGTGTTTTTCTGGAATAAATTTTCAGTTTATTTTGTTTAATTTCCATAGATTGCTGTTAATTCCTATATTTTGCCATCAGTTACCATGTAAAATCTAGCAGTGAAACTGTTATTGTTCCTGGATGTTGTGTCATGTTTATCTGGAATATATTTCCAGTTTTTTCCCTGTAATTCCCATACATTCTCATTAATTCCCCTATTTTTCTATGGAAAGTTTCCAGCTTTGAATATATCTGAAATTCTGCAACTCCAATGTAAACACATTAAAAGCTGTTTTCTGTCAGTTTATTAAAATGTGTGATGTGCCCCACAAATGAGTTCACAATGTGGATTAAAGCAGCTCCAGACAAAGCAAACATCTCGAAATAAGAAAGGGTTGAGGAAATACATTGAAAACAGATGTTTTCTTGATCCAAAGAATTATAAAAATGTGTCCTGCAGGATAATATATGAGCAGTAAGATATGTTGCAATGATCTTCATCTTTTCAGTGATTCGTTTAACATCACAACCGACAAATAAATAGTCAGATTTGCTAATTATTACATTTTAATAAGCTGATTTTTAATCAAAGTCTGTTGCTTTTATGGGGTATAGGTTTGCGTGTTAATCAGGACAAATTATTACTTCAATAACCAGCTTTTTGTTTGAGTTATTAATGTACTATTGTTAATTTCAATGTGTTTTGCAAATGTTAACAAATAGGATAAATGTTGCATGCCTACTTTCATGACAAGTCTAATGATTTATGATTTTTTTAATAAATAAAAAAATATTTAAATCAATCGATTAAAAAAAAATCCATGCTATGTATATTGAAACAAACTTGCACCATTGTTTGAAATGTATTAAATATTCGCGAGTTGTAGAAATAGATTAAAGAAAGTAATACTTTTCTGCAGTGACCCTGAGTATAGAGAGTTATTTGTTATTTGAGAGCTGACAAGGCACTTTATTATAATGACAGATGAATTAAGTTCCTAGATATATTATGTGACAAGAAATACAAATATGTTTAGGTAAACGACAGATGCTAAATATACTAATACGTCTCCTGTCCAGAGCAAGCATTACATACATTTTAAAATCCCAGACTTATCATAATTCATCAAGATAAACTGAACTCCGGATCAAGCTGAACTAAGCATAAATGCATCATAGATCATTGGTTTCTCTCACAGGAATATCAAGTGTTGTATTAATACAGTGTATATACGCAGTTGAAGTCAGAATTATTAGCCCCCTTTGATTTTTTTTTCTTTTTTAAATTTCACAAATGACGTATAAGAGAGCAAGGAAATTTTCATAGTATGTCTGATAATATTTTTTCTTCTGGAGAAAGTCTTATTTGTTTTATTTTGACTAGAATAAAAGCAGTTTTAAATTTTTTTAAAGCCATTTTAAGGACAAAATTATTAGCCCCTTTAAGCAATTTTTCCCCCAATAGTCTACAGAACAAACAATCATTATACAATAACTTGCCTAATTACCCTAACCTGCCTAGTTAACCTAATTAACCCAGTTAGGACTTTAAATGTCACTTTAAGCTGTATAGAAGTGTCTTGAAAAATATTTAGTAAAATATTATGAATTGTCATCATGGCAAAGAGAAAATACATCAGTTATTAGAAATGAGCTATTAAAACTATTACGTTTAGAAATGTGTTGAAAAAAAATCTCCCCTTCATTAAACAGAAATTAGGGAAAAAAATAAACAGGGGGGCTAATAATTTAGGGGGGGGGGCTAATAATTCAACTGTCTATATATTTAAAGTAGTGTGATAAACAGTGTTGCCAGATTGGACGGTTTTGAACATGATCGTGCAGGTGTAAAATGAAATAATGACATAAGGGTATCAAAAATTCGGGCAGTTTTGCAACTCAACGCCTGCCCCCTCTAATGTGTTCTCGGGACTGTCACTTAGTGTGATTTCCAGATGACTGGGTGGGTTTTTTTTTGCATTTCGGTGGGTTTTGGATAGTTTTTGGGCTGGAATCAGTCAGCTACATCTGGCAAGACTGGTGATAAAGTGTTTGCCCCTTATTGAAGTCTTATTTTTTTGCATGTTTGTCACGCTTTCATGTTTTAGATAATCAAGCAAATGTATAGAATAAGGTCGTGCATGTTTTAATGCTTTATAACCTTTCCACATGGGTAGGTCACAATTATTTTCTTTGAATCTCCACATCTAGTTTTTTTTGAGGATCTTTTGGTCTACTTCACTTTGTCAGGCAGATCCTATTTAAATGATTTCTTGATTGCAAACAGCTTTTGTAAATGATTCATATGCCTCTTCTGGCAGTGTTTATATTCTACAAATGTTAGTTTATAGAAAAAAAGGTTGTCTTTTTTGCCCACTCATTTATTTTTTATAGAGTTCATGACCCACTGGTCAACTTTTTAAAAGAGAGTCTGGCATAATGAAGCTGCATGGCTAAAAATCCTTACTGGACACACATTAGTCTTTTAGCCAAACCTTTGAATGGAGTTCAGAATATCTCACTGCATTCCTGGACACTTAATTTGTGTGACTTTAATGAGTAGACCTGGCTTACACTAATTGTCAATGATTTCGTGCACTATTTACGAATGACTGGAATTTCTTAAACTCACGTTTAACTATTAAATCAAATGCATTTGTGAACCCAGAGGTGAGGTTTCAGTAAGGTCTGTATAAGCTTAAATTACAAATGTTTTGTGAATGAGACCTAATGCCTGGAAGAGGTTTAGGGCCAAGCAATAATAAAAAGTAATAAAATACTTTAGGGACTAAGGTGTCAAATTAAACTCCGTACATTTGGAGAATAAAGCAACTTGCTTTGAGAAAAAAAACAAGTAAATAAAATAAAAAATAAAATAAATAAACAAAATTTTATTAAACTTCAAGAATGAAGTCGTTATTTTTTCAAGAACAAAATTGTTGAACAGAGTTGTTATGTTTTGAATAAAGTAGTTAAATTTAAGAACTTTTTTGTAAAAAAATCATTGGAACTGAATTAGTTTATTCTTGACATTTTATTTAGAATGTGTTCTTAAATTTAACAAATTTAAAAATGTAAGAAGTTATTATGTTTCAAGAAAAAAAATGGTAAATTAAAAAAAATAAACTAATGTAATGAAATGTTGAAAATAATGTCATTAAATTGAGAATAAAATCATTTATTGTATGGAAAAGTCACTAAATAAAAAAATAAATAAATGTTGAAATTAAGCTCATACAATTCTGAGAAACTCTGAGAAGCCCCCTATGTTATGACAAATAGACTTCTAAATTTCAAGAAAAACGTTGAAAATAGACCCATTACATTTTGAGAATATAGTTGTTCATTTTTCGTAAGTAAAAAATTTGAACGAAAACTGGAACTGAATAACTTTAAACTTTAACTTTCTTAAAATTTAAGTCCTTATGTTTAAAAAAAAAAAACTACATTAAAAAAAAATAATTATAAAATGTTGAGAATAAAGTTATTAAATTGAGAATAAAATAATTTGTTATGAGAAAAGTAATTAAATTAAATATAAATGTTAAGAATAAACTCATTCAATTCTGTGGAACAAGAAGACATTAAGACATTTAGAAATAAACTTGTAAATATCAAGAAAAAAGCCTAAATAAAATGCTGAGAATAAAAAAAATTAAGACAATTTAAAAGATCATCTTTGATACCAACAAGTGGTTTTGCATGTGCTAAAAAACAACACTGTATATATGTGGATTTTATATGACACTACTCACAATTTACAAGGCGTTTTAACAACTCAACCCATTTAATCCCTGTTTTTATAGCTATACATGTCATAGTTTGAGAATTTACGACCGGCACACATACCTGCAGTCTTCCAATAGCAACCAAGCAGTATTTGCTAGTTTGACCTGCTTCTGTGTCTTCATCTGGAATAGTCATGCCTGAAAAACACACACACACACACAAAAAAAAAAACATGAGTCATTTGTCCGAACAAACACTGATGGCACACTGAAAATATGTGCAAATCAGACACAGTCATATAGTTAGATGCTCTAGTATTGCCTGATGACTAACATGTTTATTCATACACTTTTTTTTTTAACAAGATGTTCTCTGTTGCAAGATATGCTGCTTGGAAATGTGTGAGCAATCCAGTTAAGCAGCACCTAAAGTTTGGTTTATACTTCTGCATTGAGTGATCGGCGTTACTCACAGCGCAATGCCATGCATTTATACTTCTGCATGCTGTTTTTGTTGCTCTGCAATAACACCTCCGAAATGCTAGCTGGTGGCAGGTTTTTATGTTCCTCTGTGTCAAGTTTCTTCAGGGATGTTAGTTTTTTTCTGAACGCTACAAGTAGCTAAAACTCGCTTATTCAGAAGCGGGAACTAGCAGACGTGCAATAAATTTAATCATAAGGCAAACACAAAAAAAAAAGTTTGCATCTGGAGCTCCTTCATGAGACTAGACACTCATAAACACTCACTTCATCGGGCTCGCGGCTTTCTGCTAACAAGCCGAGAAATCCCAGAGCTTACGCTACGCGTCATTGCAACATGTAGTTAAAATTTTTTGGGAGGTGCGTGTCAGTGTCAGCCACGGCGAGGGCTTTGCAACGCATGAAGGCTGCGCCGGACCATACATGTGCGCTTGATGCAGAAGTATACATCAGCCTTAATACTGAAGTAATTGAAATTGCAATTCATTGACTGGCTCCAGAAACAAGCAAATCCTGCTAGACTGCCATGTTAACATGCCCAACTTTACTGCAGAAAAAAAGGTGTTTGCAGCCTAGTATAAACATGGTTTCGCTGTATACACCTAATATTACCCTTTATGACAACTGCGAGGCTTGTGAACTGTGGCGAGGGGGCGTGGCCGAGAGCTGTGGGAACGGAGTGAGGCCACCGCGTAAGTGGATACACCTGCGGTGCGCACCTGCTTCGGATCCCACGGAAGGAGCTCTGGACGATAAAAGGAGGAACGATGGCAGAGGAAGCCGAGAGAGGACCGAGCCCGGACATATATTACTTTTGCTTTCAGTTTGACGGCAGTCTCCGTGAGGAGCTGCCGTCCGTTTGTTTGGGTTTAGACGGCAGTCTCCGTGAGGAGCTGCCGTCACTGTTATTAATAAATATTTTAAAGCTCCGTCGGTTCTCCGCCTCCTTCTTCCCGGCGGCCAAAGGGCTGTGAACTTTATAACATGAACATTTTATAACTCAATCATTTAATTTAAATTAAGCCCAAAAATTCTGCATAATTAAAGATGTGGCGACTTGAATCTTAATAACAGCAACTGCTCAACATTTTTGTTACAGGCTGTTTCTCAATTCCAAGAACGCAGAGAACGGATTTGTGTTATTGTGGAGACCGGTCTTGCCAGGTGTCCTCGGAAGAACAAACTCAGGAGACCGCGAGGGCAGAGAACACGTCCTTTGAGAAATGAGATGCTGCATTCTTCCTGATGGTCACATGACCTTCATGTGTTTTAAATGGTAAAATATTTAAACATTACAGCACTCATACAACAATTTATTGTTTTTCCCCTTTTCAAAATATATACTGTGCATAAAAACATCATAAATATACTCACAATATAAATAAAATAGATTTTAATACGAATTTCAGCAAACAAACACCCTTAATATGTTTATTCCTTTATTAAGATGGTCATGGAAATGTTTACTTTCACCGTTTCATTTAGGGAAACTCCTCAGGTAAATAAGTGATATCTCTGAACTTTAATGATAAATCTAAATAAAATGCTGCGCTTCCCACCTCCAGTCGCAATGACTTCTGGGACTTCCAGAGCGAGCTCGCTGCTGAAGTCTGCAGCGGTGCGTCCTCGATATCAAGATCACATCCGGGAAGTTTCACGCTTCCTCCGTACTTGCGGTCTTGAGTATTGGAACTGAACTTAGGCAGCTGATGATGACGTTACACGAGAACACGAGGACGCAAGACCGCTGAAGAACGCATATTGAGAAACAGCCAGTCATGTTATAGTCTGCTGGAAACTATTTATTTTAGTCATCTGAAATCTAGTAGTGGAACTGAATGTTGTGCAGTGTTTATTTGGAACAAATTCCCTGTTTATTTCCTTTAATTCTCATACATTTCTGTTAATTCCCATTTATTACCATTAATTCCCATCAAGTATCCAGCTTTGATTTTTTTTTTTGTTATTCTGCAACCCTAATGTTAAGCCACTAAGCATTTTTTTCTGTCAGTTTATACAAATGTGAAACAAACGAGTCCTTAATGTGAAGTTAAGTTAAAAGTAAAAAAAAAAAAAGCGCAAACATCTTAAGATACCCTACTAATAGCATTTGCACTACATTTTTGTCATAGTCTCCTGGAATTTATTTCTTTTAGTAATTTAAAATCTAGTAGCAAAACTATAATTATTGTTACTGGATGTTGTGCTGTGTTTATTATTTACATTTCCAGTTTATTCCTATTAATTCCCATACATTTCCTAATAATTCCTATATTTTACCATTAATTCTCATTAAGTATCCAGCTTACTAAGCAACTCACTGAGCTGTTTCTGTCAGTTTATTCAAATGTATAAAACAAATGTGAAAAGAAAATACTACTTTGCAATTCATTGACTGGCCACTGGGGGCTGGCTCCAGAAACAAGTAAATCCTCATAGACTGTCATGTTAAAATGCCCAACTGGAGAACAGAAAAAAAACGTGTTTGCAGCCTGCTACTAAAATGGTTTTGGTGTATAAAGCTAATATTACCCTTCATGACAACTGTGAGTGAAAGGTAAACTACCTTTTTACTGTGTGAAACTGTGTGAAATGTTTATAACTCATTGGTCTAATTTATTTGGAGCCATAAAATTCTGCATAATTAAGGCCGTGGCCACTTGAATCCAACTAATTGCATCTGCTCCACATTTTTGTCAGAGTCTCCTGGAATTTATGTCTTTGCAATTCATTGACTAGCCACTAGGGGCTGGCTCAAGAAACAAGCAAATCTTCCTAGACTGCCATGTTAAAATTCTAAAGTTTACAGCAGAAAAAATGCTGTTTTAAAGGTTTTAATGTATGTATATCAGGTATTACCCTTCATGACAACTGTGAGGCTTGTGACTTTTTTTTTAATAACTTTTAAACATTCCTGTTAATTCCCATAATTCCCAGCTTGGAACATTTCTGTATTTCTGCAACTCAAATGTAAACCAATTAAGCTGTTTTCTGTCCATTTATTAGAATGTGCGATACAAATGTGACACAAATGCATTCTTAATGTGTATTTAAACACATCCATACAAAGCAAACATCTTTAGGGATGAGGAAACATATTGAAAACAGATGTTTATTCATACATGTTGCAATTTTTTTTTTTTACAAGATGTTCTGTTGCAGGACATTGTTCAGAAATATACCTGCAAAACTTTTTTTTTTTTGATCCTACAAATAGCATCTGCTGGGCAGTTTTGTCACATTTGTCACAATTGATTTCTTTTTGTCATCTAAAATCTAGTAGCGAAGCTGTTATTGTTCCTGGATGCTGGTGCCGTGTTCATCTGGAATAAACAACACATGCAGTAGCAGCAGATGGAGAGATTCATGTCCTGGAGTTTGTTTTAAGCATGATCGTAAAGCATTTAATCTCCTTTTAATTACATTACAACAATTTCTTCTCGACTTGCTTGCCTTGACCTCACTAAGGCTGATGACTAAAATAAGTTTCTGTAAGGTGATTACACATAGATATTTACTAACATGAACTAATACTGAACAATACTTGTGTGAAATCATAGTTTAAGATTTGTTAATGCATTGTAAATATTGTGCTTGGTAACATAATTCATGGGTGGCATCTTGGCTGGCACTGTCGCCTCACAGTAAGAAGGTCGCTGGTTCGAGTCAATATTTTTGTGTGGAGTTTTGCATGTTCTCCCAGTGTTGGCATGAGTTTCCTCCAGGTGCTCTGGTTTCCCCCACAGTCCAAACACATGCGCTATTGGTGAAGTGGGTAAAATAAATTGGCCATAGTGTATGAGTGTGTGTGTGAATGAGAGTGTATGAGTGTTTTTCAGTAATGGGATGCAGCTGGAAGTAGAGATTTGCGCAGGACAACATTTTGAATCCCGCTCCCGCCAGGTTTTAACCCAAACCCGACCTCTCCCGCTAATATTTAGCATTTGTTGTCCCGCTGCCCGACCCGCCCCATTTTCCACCCGCCGCGGCCGATACCGCAAAAGAGGGGGGGACAAAACCGAAAACCACCCAGCTATACAGGGTCTGGGTCCTTTTAGCTGCAACAAAGTACTGGAAAACACCAGTACTCCCTTTTTTCACACACACACTCATACACTACAGCCAGTTCAGCTCATCCAATTTACCTATAGCGCATGTCCGGAGCACCTAGAGCAGGGGTCTCAAACTCGCGGCCCGCGGGCCATTTGCGGCCCTCAGTGCAATATTTTGTGGCCCACGCCGACCGCTGTACTCTGACAGAATCAGCGGAGCGGGGAGAGAGAGCGCTCCCCGCTCCGCTGATTCTATCCGTACACAGCGCGCTTGTCACTCAATGCGCGTTGTCGCGCGCGTTCTGATCAGCTGTGTTGTCGCGCGCGTACTCAAGAGCTGTGTTATCGCGCGCCTACTGAAGGGCGGGACCGAGGGTGTGTCGCGTCGCGGGGGCACTTTTGATCATTTTGGAAGGGCACTTTCTATGCAAGACTAAAAAGGGCATGTGCTCTGCACAGGTTGAGCCCTATGTGTGCACGTGCCTGCCCTGCATCTTATATATATTGATATTATAGGTAGATACAGACTGGTACAGACTGATGTGACTGGAGTGGGGTGGGGGTGTTTTATTTATACATATATATACGCCTTTTTTTTAGGTGAGGGAATGGAAGTTTTGAGTGAGTTCCCCCACTTTTTTCCCTAGGACTTCAATAAGTCAAAGT